TAAAACACAGCACCAAAAAAAAAAAAAAAAAAAAAAAAAAACACAAGCAGCTGTTTAGGTTGTTAACGTCGAGGTTAACGACGCACCAGAGTCCTCCTGGAGTCTTCAAGCTGGGCTGCCTTTTAACTCAGCGGTGCCTGTCCGACGGTGATATTAGTGCTGTTCGTGGCAGCGGATGATCCTCTGCCAGAGGATGCACATTAACAGCTAGCCTGACCGTTTGACAGGAGATAAACCTGGACCCGTCAGTCTCGGTGTGTCTGTGTCCGCGCACGTGTGCGTACGTGTGTCCCCCACAAGAAAAAAAAAAATTTGTTTTTCAAACTGAAAACAGCTCTAGCTGAAGAACGCCTGTCCCTCCATCTCCACTCACACATCATTAGTGGAGCCTGCAGAGCACCCGGTCCCTGAAACCAGCCTGCACACGGAGAGGAAAGGAGCTCGGACCCACGAGCGTCTACTGTGCGTGTTTCACACAAACACGTCCACATGCATCCAGCTGCAGTGAAAGGCGCCTGAGAGCTGTGGCCCTGGGCTGCAGTGTCCTCGCTCACTGAACACCCTGACTGTGGAAATTCTGCACAGCATTTTTTATTCACAGCACAGCTGGTGAGAGGATGGGGAAAAAAAAAAAAAAGAACCACCTCCCACACCGCCGCCTCACCAACCCTTCTCTTCTCAGGTTAAAAAGCCCAGTCACAGGAACATTTTCTCCTTTATATGCCCCTCCCCCCCCTCAGCCACTAAGTGTGGGCATGAAGATGGCACATAGATTAGTCACATGTTGGCAGCACCATCGGCTGTGCGCTCCACTGACTCATCTACAGATGGCGACCACTTGGCATCAGACAATACTGTATCTCAATATCCAACTTTTATATAGGGCATCCTACCTGTGTACTGCAGCCAATCGGTGCAGGCCGTCCAAGCGGCGCTCACCTCGGGCCGAATGTTTGAGGCCGAAACTGTGGCACCCGACGATAAAACAAATATCAACCTGCCTTCTGTCTGAAAGACGATCCAACAATCAGACATTTAGTCAGTGCCAACTGGAGCGGTGAGAAGGATTTGTTAGATCTTGTCTCTTTATCTCTACATCAGTCTGTCTATTTTTTTCGTTTTTTTTTTAAATTTCTTAAAGCTTAGGTTGCAGTATCATAGCCTTCGACCGCAAAGCCAATAAAACCTCCCCTCACACAGGACTGGTCTGGACATGTCCAAACACTTGCAGAGGACACACCCTGGAATACACAGAAGCAGGCTGTAAATACCAGAGTACTGGTGAAACTCATGGGGAGGGACACAGACACACACACACACACACACACACACACACCTCGACATCCAGAGTCCAGGTCAGAGTCTTTCTCACAGTAAATAAACGAGCGTGATGGGTGACGTGAGCGGTGAGAAGATGATGATGGGTTTAGCTCTATACATTGTGCACTTGTAGGAAAAAGTCTAACAAAATACAACTGCTTTGTGAACTGAATCAGGGTTCAAGGAACTCCTCCATCAAAAATAGTAAGTAAGGCAAACATCGGAGGTGCGAAGGGAGAGGAGCACGTCGTTTCACACACTGTGTAAGATACCTGAGCGATCTGGAGAGTTTCCTGGCCCAGCACGGGACCCCCCCGTCCCCCACACCCCGCCATCCTCCACTAATTGGGTGTCGAGCGGACTGTACGTCGGGGGAGATAAGTTATATCCTGTCCGTTAACGGGACAAAAAAAAATAAAATAAAAACACGAAGCTGGAGTTTCCATCTGCTGGTTGGTTGCGACGGCCCACAGCCCTCCCCCCTCACCTGTCAGCAGGGGAGAGGGTGGGAGGTGATGGCMCGTGGGGGAGGATGAGGGGGGGGGATTGTCAGACATCCCAAACAAACAGGATAAGCCTCTCTCGTCAGTCAAGCTCACGACCCCGCTGGTCACTGGTCAGTGCGTTTCTCCAGATTTGTGCAGCAGGTGGTAGAAAGAACCCRGGAGGGTGGGGCGGGAGGAGGGGGCAAAGAAAAAGTGTTCCTCCCCAGAAGGTAAATCAGGCGTCCTCGTGTCCTCCTCTCCTGGCTGTGCGAGGTGTGTCAGACCTTGTAGTAGATGTTGGCRGGGCTCTGCGGAGGCATCTCCTGCACGATGTAGACGGGGTGGCCATAGTCGCCGCTCACCTTCTCGTAGTGAGGGCAGTAGTTGTTCTCTGTCCGCAGCGGAATGATGATGTCGCTGGGCTCCGTGCCGGCCGTGCCGCCCGGCAGCTTGGGGTTGGACAGCGTGCTGAGCGACAGCGCCGAGGGCCGGGCGTGCGAGTGGGTGTTCTTCCGGGCGCGCTTGCGCATCTTGATGAGGAGGATGACGAGGAGGAGGATGAGCACGAGGAAGATGATGCAGCCAGCCCCGATGGCGGAGAACACRGCCACTTTGGAGTCGAGGAACCCGTCGGTGTTTGAAGGGGACCCCGCCTGGTCCTGGTTCATGGAGTCTAGAAAGACAAAACCAGAAATGAGAAGAGCAGACAAGGAGGCTATCGTAACTCAGAGAGCYGTTTACAGTAAATGTACTTTTGTTCAATATTTTATTTTTGATTTATTAAAAAAAAACTTTGCAGCTGCATCTCACCATATGAGGAGGATTTAATGGTCAAAACAGGAGAATCTGCCTTTGATCCATTCTACTTTTTTATATTTCTCAGTTGGAGCATCTGATAAAAACATCACTTGTGTGTTTTTTGATTGTTATGCTGATGATACCCAGCTTTATTTATCTTTGAAGCCTGGTGATCTATCAAACGTGGCAATCTTTCATCATTGCATGACTGAGATTAGCAACTGGAAGTCTTCAAATTCTCCTCAAGTTTTATTTGAGATTTTCGCTCCGAGTCAAGATTATGACATCATCCTTCCAGTCTCTTGGCTCTTTATGTGATCACACAAAACGATTTGCTATAAAAAAAAAAAACTTTAGGCTTTATCTCCGACAACCCATGTATATTTGATTAAAACGTTTCTTTTTCGGTCCAATTATTTTCACATAAGAAATATAGCTAAAATACACCCTCTGCTATCTTTTAAGCAATTAGAAAATGCAATTTATTCTTTTGTTTCATCACACCCAGACTATTATAACTCTTGCTACTCCTGATTAAGCCAAGAGTCTGTCTCTTGTTTCCAAATGGTCCAAAGTTCTGCTGCTGGACTCCTCAGCAGGACCAGGCCTCGCACTCATATCACCCCAGTGCTTTATGTTTTTAAACTGGCTTCGGTTCAAGTTCAGGATTCAACATAAAATCCTTCTTCTTGACTATAAAGCCAAGAACAGCCAAGCTCCTGCTAGCATGGGTGAACTTTTAACTCCTTGCACMACCTCCTAGACCCAGGATGTGTTCTGATCTAGGGTTTTTTTTTTTCATCTCTTGTTCCAGATTTAAAACACAAGAGGACTGGTTCTGGGTCCCAGACACTGGAACAGTCTTGTAAGCTTTCTTTCAGACCTCCCTTTACTCCAAAAGTTTTTTTTTTTGTTTAACTAACTTGTTTTTGGGATTTTCGTTTGTACATTTTTAAATTTATTTCTGTTTTTATAYGTAATGAACTCTATAACCTTGGTTTTTAACCCTGCCCTTTTAATTAAAAAAAGCATTTAGTGCTTTATTATTCTTGACGCACTTTTTTTAATTATTTGGTTTATTAGTTAGTCATAAACCAAAGACYGTCTGTGATTTTGCAGTCTGCGTAATTAAGGCAAGGGAACAGTGTTGTCACATGGGAGGAGCCAAAGAAAACATTAAGAACACAAACGAGGTTCTTGTTTATTTGTAAAATGAGATAAAATACCCCCACGCAGTCATTTTCTCCTGGAGACCACAGAACACTACAGTACGCCTGCTCTGTCATGTGCAAACCATACCAAATCAACTGGGAGCGCATCCCACTTTCTTGTTTGCTCAACATGACTAACAGCCTCATTGATGTAATCTAAATGAATCAGCTCAGCCAAAATAGCCTCCTAATGAACTCTGTAGTCAACAGCCGGCATGAAAGAGATCGCCGCCTCGATACGGTTTGAGGGAAGCTCCTCGAACATGTTGGGACCACGATTGCGTGGCAAAGGCCGAGCGAGGGATGAACAAACGTGGAGGGCATAACGGAACATCTGATTTTATTTTATCCCTTTTGTTTGAGGGGTTCAGGATGGGAAAGAGAACGGCTGGCTCCCTCTGTGACTGAAACCCGAGAAGAACCAAATCTGTTTTCCATGTATGCACGCAGCTGCTGCCAAAGAGCAGCAATCCTCCTCCTCCTCCTCCTCCCCCCCCGCTGCCATCACTCTTTTACTGTCCATGACCCCCACCACTAACACCCCCCCCCCATACCTCCACAGGCACACAAAAGTCTCATAGCTCACAGTCCTGCCAACCCCAGTAATGACTGTGTCTCCACGTACTGCTGGCCACTTTCTGCACTCAACCATTTATTGATAAGGGGATAACTGCGCCTTGAGTCTTACCGTGACTGAACGACACGATTGAAAGCTACCAATCCGAGCTTTATCGGGTGAAATCAGAGGCCGGAGGAATTTTGTGCATTCTGGGCACACGAGAGCGAGAGAGAGAGAGAGAGAGGCTGTCAGAAATCTCATTCCTGAAATATCAGGCCTCTCCAACTCCAGCGGCTCGTCCTTCAGTCCTCCGTTCCACCCTCACCTGACATCATAACTGATCTAACTGTGGCAGACTGGCAAAAAAAAAAAAAAAAAAAGAGGTATGCTGCAGAAGTGACATTAGGAAATCTTTTTATAGAACAACTGTTGTCAAATAAGTAATTATGGAGAAAGTGTTGGCTTATCACGTTGGGACAGGCAGAACAGGGTGAACTTGGAGGAAGTTGGTGGCGTACAAAGTTGTGGAGTAAGTCAAAAAGTAACTGCGAGAAAAGAGAGAGAGAGAGAAAAATAAGGGATTCTTCCTTTTGTGAAAAATGTAGGTGAAAGCAGGAGAAGAGGGGAGTGCAGAGCAGCCGGGGAGGCTCAAACGACTCTTTGTCTTTTATCTCTCCTTTTAATCTTCATTTATCTGCACTTCCCTGATGAGACTTAAATATATAGATATAAAGACCAAGTGTGTCTTTAGAGTCTCCTTTGGTGCAGCGCACTCTGTGACTCAGCTGTATTTGTTTAGGGTGTGGTTTTAGGTTGTTTCATCCAAACCCTCATTTTAGAGAGTTTCGCTTTATTCTGCACAACACTGGTTTTACAAGTACTTCAGCATGTTGAGAGCCCAAGCAAAAAAAGAAAAAAATAAATAAAAAAAAATTACTGCCAGCAGCATGTCAAAGCAAAACAGGGTGTAATACACTGTGAGTGGCTTAACTATTATTAAGGAAGCCATGTGCATAAGCATTAAAGCCCCATTATTATTATATAGCCATTTTGCTTCTGCTTCTGTCCCAAATTTTCATTTTCTGTTAAAATCACAGCTTTAAAAAACATCAAAAAGCATCAAAACTGGATGCTCGATCTGGAATAGTGTGATATGACTTTTGGCAGTACTCAATGAAGTAAATTTGTAAAAAAAAAAAACAACAAATTAAAATTACACAAACAAAACTGGGATTGTAGCAACATTTGTGGTAAACCCCAGCTCTCTAAGGAGCTCTACAGCTCAGACAGGCTTCACAGGGAAAAAAAATGAAAAGGTTAAACAGTTCACAAAACGTTAGACTTTACACGCTGAGCTGCAACGTACATGTGTACAAGCTTTCACACAATTTAGTTTTTTTAAAGATTTTACACTGAAATTTTTCACTTAGAGAAGGATGTTTGAGTTTTCTAAACAAACTAGTCTTATTCCCATAAATTTCACACGTTCCTATATAATAAATCAGACATAAAAATGTATGTGTGTCACTGCTGTGGTGGTTTTCTTTCAAATCCTCTCAGAATCCAAAGACTCCTATAGACTCAGAGCTTTCTGCCACTTAAAGCTCATGATTTTATTTTATWTWTTTTTTCAGTCCAACATACAGTTTTTGCACAGTGGCTGTTTATTTGAGTCTTAGCTTGTGTTTTATGTTTCTGTCTGCTCCACTGAGTCARAGGCAGCAACTTTGACATTTCCTTTGATCTTGATTCTCTTCATAATTTTTATTCAGTTTATATACATCAAACCATTGGYATTTAATCTGCTTATATAATTACAGAAGTTATCATTAGGTGTTATATTGCAGGGGAAAGTTGAAGGTAATAGCTGCATTGACTATCTTCAATAAACGATTCAGATCTTAAGAGTTTTCACTTTAGGTTCAAGTTCAATAATTAGAGTGGTTCTTAAAGCTGTGAGCATTCATTTTGGGTTTTTTTTCCACTTGGAAAAGGAAATGACTGCACTATTTTCACTGGAAAGCATCATATAATGACTTTAAAACCATAGTTTATGGGKTTATTGTTGCCCTGTCAATCTGCTCACCACGGTTTCCTGGCATCACGGGCACTTCTTGACCCTGATCCGGCGGACTGGAACTGGACTCTGGTATGACGTTGTCCTCTGGAGTTTCCGGGTTCGCTGCKTTCGGGACTGTGGGAAACAAAAGGAAAAAGAGAAACTCAGATAGTGGCGTCCTGCGTGAGATGAATTACAACGACTTCTTCTTTGCAAGGATTACTCTTATTATCATTTCATTTCAGTTCAATTCAATTTATTTATATAGCGCCAAGTCACAACATACGTTGTCTCAGGGCACTGTACATAAAAAGAACAATCTAAAGAAGAAACCAGCAGATTGTGTTGAATCACTTCATCACAGTCTCCCATCCTGAGCMAACGGTGGAGAGGAAAAACTCCCTGCTAATCAGGAAGAAACCTCCAGCAGAACCAGGCTCAGGACAGGCGGCCATCTGCCTCGACCGGCTGGTTGAGGGACAGGAAGGAGACACAGGTAAAAACAAAAGAACTGGTCCAGGTGCAMCTACTTCTGGAAAAGAGACAAAAAGAAAAAAACATGTTATTGATGGAAATAATTACAATAAACATGTAGAGAAGAGAGGTTACRTTGTACGTTTGATATATCTTTTTCACACACAGAGGAGGTTATCGTTGCCCGTGTCAAAGCAGTGTCAGACTGGGTGAGAGCCCTGGAAGTGGGAAGGACGAGGTTTCGCGAATGTCTGTGAAACACATCGACATCCCTGTCCTGTCGTAAAAAAAAAAGAATGAGCTCACATCTACATCAGCGGCTCCTTCAGCAAACACTCAGATAGGCATTTCCAACGCTCACGAGAGCACCCCCCACACACACACACACCCACACACACACCTACAATGTACTTACAATACACTCAGGCCTGGCAGAATGGGGGTAAAGTAGTTATATATTAACTTTTTATTGTTTTACATTATTCATCACGTTAAAAGGCCATAATATGCCTTATTTATTGCTCTGGCTTTAAGTCTGTGTGGAAGAGGCACACTTCTGAGGGGGAGATAATAGGAGAACCGGAAGAGAAGTGGGAGGGGGAGAGCAGGGGGGTGGTTGTGAGCTCTTGAGAGTAGTGCAAAGGAAACAGACAGTTTATCTGACTGTCTGTTGCGATTCCAGCACACCGACTTTGAAGTCTTTGTGCGGTAAACACTGGTGGGTTGTCAGCATTGTTTTGTGTTTTTTGTTTRTTTATTTTTTGTACAGGGGCAGGGGCACACGACAGGGAGACAGTTTATAAACTATTACTGAAGCTGGTCAGATGGATGCCACAGACAGCGCTTATCTGCATCTGCCCCGCGGCCCGAGTCTGTGTGTGAATGAGAAATAGAAGTGGGAAGGCAATTTGTGTCCAAGRCCCCCGTGGCAAGTGTGTGTGTCCATACGCGGGTGTAGGAGTTGAGAAAAAGGGCTGGCCGTTCTGGCAGGAAATTCTCCGTCTCAAAAACAATTCCGCTCAATCGTGAGCCGACGTACGAAATGATTTGGGTGTGGGTCGTCTGGTAGATGGAAGATGAAAGAGAAGAGGAGGAAATAAACGGCACCCTTAGGGGAGGTAAAGGGGTGAGGCTGGCGACTAAACAACGCCCCTCTATCTTCTCCATGTCGGGACCACAGCGCCGCACCGTCCTGATTGCGGCGGCGGCGGCGGACGTAGCCGTGAGCTGTTGTGGGYGGTTAATAATTGATGAGGAAAGACAGGAGTGAGAAGTGGGAACATTCACG